AAAAAAAAAAAAAAAAGAAAAAAATCATTTACATGGCAAGACTTGGTGCCCATGTGTGAGAACCAGGAGAGAGGACACAGAAACAAACACTCAGAGCCCTGATTTTGATGGTGAATAGATAATGGTGCCACCAAATGAAGAGGAAAACTTAGAAGAATTAGGCATGACTCTGAGACACTAAAATGGCTATGAATCCATCTTGGGGGCAAGATCAGAGCTAGAGAAGTCAATGTGCAGCTTAATAGCCCAGAAATGGTAGATTCTATAAATTCAAGTGAAGGAGGTCATTCATTCAAGTGAAGGAATGACAAGTGTGGGAACATGGAGAGAGAGAGAGAGAGAGAGAGAGAAAGAGAGAGAGACAGACAGACAGACAGACACACAGACATGGTTTTAAGGCACAAGCCAGATGGTGGTGCACACATTTGTAATCCTAGCTTTAGAAGGCTAAGAAGAGCTGTTGCGAGTTCAAGGTCAGCCTAAACTACTGTACTACATAGGGAGACTATATTTGAATGAATCAATAAATGAATAAACAAATGAATGAATGGAGACGGTCAAGGATAAAAGAATGGAATACTTAAGAGGCTGTCCAAAATAGAAAATCCTAAAAGTCAGACAAAACAAATAGCCAAAGACATGGGAAACAGTATAATATTACAAAAAAACAAGGAAAAGAAACCAAAGTATCAAAAAGGAAATAGTCAGAGACACACTGAATACTAAAGGGCTAAAACACAGATTTTATATTTAGCTATCACTATGACTTCAATAGGAATAGCGTAGTTCAAAAATGTCCCTACAAACTAAGTGCCTGCTTTGGGAAGCACAAGGACTGTGGTTTGATCCCCAGCACTACATGCCTTGCCAGCCTGCCCCCAGGATGCACTGAGTCCGGGCGTGGTGGTGCACCACTGGGGAGGCTTAAAACAGGAGGATCACCAGAGTCCACTCTGCATAGTGAGACCCTGCACCAAATATACAAATGAAGCTAAAATAAATAAATAAATAAATAAGGGGCCGGCCAAATAGCTCAGCAGATTAAAGCACCTGCAAGTAGATGCAGGGGCCAGGGGTTTGATCCCCGGGCCCGCCCCCAGGGCGCACTGTGAAGACATTTGAGACTGGGTGTGGTGGCACACAACTGTAATCCCAGCTCTTGGGAGGCTATAAACAGGCGGATCACTAAGAGTCAAATCTAGTGAAACCCTGAACACCCTGTAGACCCTTCCCCAAATACAAAAAAAAAAAAGAAAAAAGCCCCTAATTTTCAGCCACACTAAAGCACAAAAGTCCCCTAAATATGTTCATCTACCTAATTAATCACCAAATGTCACTCCAAATATTCATTTAGGTTCAAAAACATCACAATAATATAGAAAGAATAATCAAAACATACAATAAGCAGGGCTGCAGGTTCCAGTCTCTCCTGGGCAAGTTAGTGAAAGCCTACCTCAAGTAAAATAATAATAATAATAATAATAATAATAATAACAACAACAATAAAATAAATATAAAGGGCCAAGAATAGAGCTCAGTGAAAAGGCCCTGGGTCCAGTCCCCAATACCAAAAAACAAAAAACTGATAAATCTATATTAATGCTACATGGGAGTTTCCTGTATTTTTCTTAGAACTTCCCTGTTGAAACTGCTTCCAAATTAAATAGGCATGGTGGCACATACCCGTGATCTCACCACTCAGGAGGTGAAGGCAAGAGGACAAACAATGCAAAACATAAAAGCACACAGTAAATGTTTAAAAAAAAATTTAAGAAGCTTTAATATATTAAAATACACTGCCAAGAATGAAGGGATGGGTGAAAGCAGTTGTTTGCAGGTGAGGCAATGGCAATGATTGCCTTTTGCTGTAAGAAATCTTAAAATTTATATATTCTGATCTCCTGTCATATTACTGATGAATCTTACATCTGCAGGTGAGTGAAGCAGGTACAACTTAGAGCAGAATATGGAAACCTCACAAGTAGTCAAAGATGGGCGATGCTCTCCCTGCCAGGCAATGGCCATAAAGCCAACGACCAGACACTGATGCAGGCAAACAAGCTCCCTGTCGGAGGACAAAATGAACAGGGAAATGAAAGCAAAAAAATGAAGAACAAGCAGCAGTCAGCCACGGCAGCAAACACACACTTAGGATAGCACCGGAAAATCAGGGTACGGCAAAGCAATACATCCTTTCCAAACCCTCAAGCTGTTCTTACAGCACCACGGACCACAGGATTGCACTGACATTATCTAGAGCAATGGTGGCTAAGCTACAGCACATGTGTTACTTGTGACAATGGTGGCTAAGCTACAGCACATGTGTTACTTGTGACAAAAGAGGTTAAGATTTGATTTGTTCTTTCTAAACTGGAACCTCAGTATTCCGGTTTAATTGCAGTGTGTTGGCATGTTATGATAAGTAAGTGTATTTTTTATTTTAGTTTAAGCATTTGTCTCTAAAAGGTTTGTCAACACTGATGTAGAATATATAGAGAAATGGAAAAAGTAAGTCTCAGTGTCTATAATAGTCTCATCATTGTTTTTCACATTTCATTTCAGGAAATACAACAGGAATAGGGCATCATATTAATCAGCTCAGCACTGTATCTAAGATATTTGCGAGCGCAATGAAAATATGCATACTTGATCACATTGCAGAGAACAGAAAAATTGTAAGATTAAATCAGTGTGTTTATATTATAAGCACTTACTCAGGGGATCCTGTGTAGATTCTGAGGCAAGACAACTGAACTCTGTTATATATAGCATGAAACTAAGCTACAGTCATTCATATTAATAAACATATCAAAGCAAAAGGTCTAAGTTGCACAGTGATGTGAATGTACTCATCACTTCTGAAGTGTACTTAAGAATGGTGAAGATGGTCTGGTCTTGGTAGCTCACGCTCGTTATTCTGGCTACTCAAGAGACTGAGGCAGGAGGATTGTGAGGCCAAACAGCTTGGGCAATTCAGCAAGACCCTTCTTGTCTCACAGTATAGAAAGCTGAATATCATACTGAAAGAGAAGCTGCAAGTTTGCCCTGTAAACTCAGGAACAGCATGAGGATTTGTGCCATCACGAGCGCTCCATCTGGTTTTTCAAACATTAGCCAGAGCTATTAGACAAGAGAAAGAAAAGGTGTATGGACAGGAAAAGAAGTAGTGAAATTATTATTTGCTGATGACATGATCCTCTACATAGAAGACAAAAAAATTCCATCAAAAGAATCCTAGAATAACAAAATTCAGTAGCATAGCAAGACACAAGGTCAACATATAAAAATCAATAATGTTTCTATATACCAATAATAAACTCACTGAAAAAGAAATTAGGGAAATAATGCTCTTCACAATAACATCAAGAGGGCTGGGGAGATGGCTCAGTGGAATAAGTGCTTCCCTGGCAAGTGCAAGGGCCTGAGTTCAATCCTCACTTCTGCCAAAAAAAAAAAAAAAAAAAAAAAAAAAAAATATATATATATATATATATATATATATCATTAAGAAAAATTAAATACTTAGGAGGAATTAACTTAAAAGGAAATGAAAGACCTCTACAATGAAAACGACAAAACTCTGAAAAAGACCTAAGAGGACATGAAAAAGTAGGTCTTGCTCCCAGACAGACAGGACCAATATCGTCCAATGGCCATATTGAAACCGATACACAGATTTAACACAACCCCAAGCAAATATCAATAGAATCACAGAACTAGAAGAAACAACCCTAAAATTCATACAGAACCAGAAGCGACCTAGAATAGCAAAAGCAATTCTGGGCAGTAAGAAGAAGACAGGAGGCATCACAATCTTGATCTCCAAGTTATACAACAAAGCTACAGCAATAAAAACAGCATGGTACTCTTTTAAAATGTGAATTAACAGAACAGAGGAGGCAATAACAATCCCAGGCACATTCAGCTACCTGATCTTAGACAAAGCAGTCAAAAAATTATGCTGAAGGGAAAAGAGTTCAACAAATGGCCTCCCATTTAACGCTACTGCAGTGTATTTCTGACCCTTCTTCCTACACTCCCATCTTGAGTCTTTCAATGAAATAATTTCCTGAAATACTTTGTCTCATAGCAGACCTCTGCAATGGTTCACCTACATCCAGGTTAACATTCTAATTCTTCAGCATGAGCTCAAGCCCACCATGCTATTATAGTTCAGACAATGAAGCGTTCACTCATCACACTGGTTTATTATAGGACACACACAGGAACTGGGCGAGGTGGCACACGCCTCTAATCCCAGCACTCAGGCTGAGACAGGAGGACTGCTGTGAGTTTGAGACCAGCCTGGGGGCTACAAAAGTGCGCACAAGGCCAAACTGCAAAGCAAGACCTTGTCTCAAAAAAGACACACACACAGATTACATTTTTCTGTAACATCTTTCTTTATAACATCCTTCTCTTTGAGGGTAGGACACAAATTGTCTGATTCTTCACCTAATACCCCTCCACCTACTCTTTAAGAAGTCCAATTTGACTTCCTCTTTGACAAGTCTCTGATCATCTGTACCCAGGGAACTTTTCTCTTTTGAACATACTTTATGTTTGTACTAATGATACAGTACTTAATAAATACTATGTTGTGCTGTCATATATTTCACATGCATGTCTTTTCCAACTGCGCATCAAAAAGGCACATTCTGTGGCTTATGCTACAAATGGGACGTACCAATAAGCCAATCACAGAACCTCTCTCAAATAAGACTGCCACTTACCTCCAACACTCTGTCTTCGCTTTCTCTTACACTCACTAGGAGTTTCCTGTTCACCTTCTTCAAAGCCTTCCAATGATGGAGTAGCACAGAGACCATCAATACCCAACATAGCTGGTATCTTTTCCAGGATAAAATCTGGGATCCGCCCTAGATAAAAATGTTCATTAAGCTACTATCACCCATCCTTGGCTTTCCCTCCAAACATGTGTGGCCAATCTCTAATTCTCTATCACTTGTTTTCATAATTGACATGGAAGTTAGGATCTCCCTCACTTAATCAGATCCGATTACTTAATGATGCCACTATAGCTTACCAATATCTGAGGCATAATCTATAAAAGTCTGCACTACTGCAGCCTGTAATCGCAGCTTTTTTTCTGTGTTAGCAGACATCTTTTCACGTCCTTCACTTGTCTGAAGAAGATTTGGTGCAAATATTACTGCAAGATTGCTGCTATCCATCTTATTCTTACTGGACCTTCCATGAGAAAACAGGTTTTATTAGATGGAGAGAAAGGTAAAAGTACAGAAAACTAAGGTAACATATAAGCACATTTTGAAGACTTCTTGTTAATTAGTCATACCCAAGACAAAAATATTAGGAAGATTGCTCAGTGGAAGAGACTGATTTACCTGTCACACAGAAGTCTGTGGGTTCTATCATCAGCATCACAAATCAGCACAACAAAAAAAATGTAAGAGAGAACCAAAAGAACAGTCTCCATATAATCAGTGTAGTTCATAAAAGTCAGGGCAATCAGAGTCCACTCTTTGCTTTTCCACACAAACATGCTTATCTCATTTTCAAAGCCATCAACAAAAAACTAAGAATATTAGGAGGTGGCAAGCAGCTGTAAAATTAGTGGACTGAGAGCAGGGAAAGGCAAAATACTTAAAAAGCAAAGCACAAATATTTTAAAAGCACAGTAATCAGGCAGCATTCTGTGTGCAAGGAGTCTTGTAAAACACTAAGGCATCAAGACAAGAGGAAATCAACTGTAGTCTTTCTTAGACTATGGGGTATACTTTTCTCAAAGAAAAATTTCCATTTGGAAAAGGAATTTATTATCCACAAGGATAAATCTTTAGGTAGTTGGGAAATTAAACTATCATTTTCCAAAGATTTTTAATTAGCACTTACCTAAGAGAAACATTCCTGAGAAAGTTAAAGAAATATCTTAATATATCAACTGTACGATCAGCCATAAGGCAGGAAAGTAACAATGTAGCTGTGTTCTTCTCCTCTGATCCTAACTGTTGAGCTTTGAAAAGTGCTTCATGCAAATAAGCTGGAAGAATGGGCTCCGGCAATTCCCTAAAAAACTGTTTAAGCAGTCCTGCAATGTCACAAGGAAGTGCAGAAGACAAGCCACCTTCACCATTATCCAGTTTATTCTGAAATAAATATAATAATATTGAGCATCTTCCTGGGTTCAGAGTTCATTGCAAATAAATTAATCCTTATTATCATTAAAAAGCTTTTATAAACTCTTGTTTTAATAGTTATTACTCTCTAGAAAAATAAAAATAAAACTCAAGTTTTCATTTCATATAATACTTTATAAGAGCTATGAATATCAAGTTACACTGTAAACATCTGAAGTATTATACAAATGATACACAATTGCTTTTCAAAAAGATTTTTCTGCCAGGAAAAAACAAAACAAAACAAAAAAAAACTTCCCAATTCAGTCCCTATCATTTAATTATGTTCCAGATATTTCAATCATAAAAGAACCAAATCAGAAAATGATACAACTGCATAATTCAAAATTATGCTTACCTTTAGTGCCTTTAGGCGAATAACAGATCCCGATTTCCTAAAGAGCCCTTCTGTATGAATGTGCTCCTCTAAAGATGAGCAAGCCTCTACAAGAAAGCTGAAAGAGAAAGCAGTTTCACGTGGCGAGATACACACTTTCCCAAATCCTGTCCTCCTTCCAAAATCACCAACAGGCCAAGTAAGAGGCGCCTTTAACAAGTTCTAATGTCATGAAATCCTTTAATCTTTGTGATAAAAGGCTTAGTCATCTTCCTTACTCCTTGGAAATTCTTCTTCAAGGGCATCTTTTTATTCAGCTACCTCCTATGAGCTTGCTCAATTCTGCATTCTTGTCAGTGCTCCTCTACTTCTCTGCTTGCTTTCAGAACCTAAGATCTGGCTTACTGATTACCGCCAGTGTCAACACACCCAGGCCCCATCACCCTCACCAGTCAGACTCATCCTCATTACTCCCAACAATTCTCATCACAGTCAAGACTGCCCTTTGCCTTCCTGAAGCCAGGCAGCTGTTGCCAGATGCACCAGCATTTGACACACCTGACCACTTCCCTGCTCAAAAATACTTTTTGCCACTCCTCTAGTTTTCCTCCCATCTCCCTCTCAAACTCCTTTTCTGCTTCTTCCTCATCTTCTACCAGGACCCAGGGCTTGGTCCAAGGCCACCTTCTTTATCTACCATCTCTCCACGGGTCACCTGGGACAGCATACATAGCTTTAAGCATCTAGCATCTGCTACACATGCTTAATGATAAGGTCAATTTTCTCACCCAAACATTATCCCTCAGGATGATAAGATATATCCCAGTCTGTGCAGTCTTTTTCATCTTAAGGGTCATGTGCTCAGTTTATTTTGAGCAATGGCAAACCATGTTAGCCTTAGATACTTAGCTATTTAAAACTGGTACCAACAAACTAGAATGTATTGCAGCTACATTCTAACAGTTGTGGTACACAAAGGCAGAAGGTCAAACTGATTTCTAAAGGGTAATGGATAGTTGGTGTCTTGCTTGGCACTTGGGTTTGGCTTTTTAATGAGGTTAAAAAAATAACAAGAGAATTATTCATTATTCCTAGGGATACGTCTTTGCATTCCCAAATGTTGGAAACTGTTATAGATTTTCCTAACAGGAAAACCAGCCATTCATAAGTCACAAAAAAGCAAAATACTATTACATGGTTACCTTAGAAAGACTGTAGATCTAACCCTAAGGATTAACGGAGGAAAACCATAGGCAGGAAGCAAGGTGTTCAATAAGCTTTTCTGCCTGATGAATCACTTAGGAGCTATGTTACTGAACTATAATAGACAAAATAAATACTACTTTGCATAGAGGAAAATTAAGAGAAAACATAGTTTCTTTGTATGCATTTTATAGTTTATGAAGACATAAACTTCCCCAGTAATTTGATGTAGTTAGTTAAAAAGTTATTCACAAAGAGCAAGGGGTGCAGAAAGTTACAGCAGTATGTAAGATATATTTTTAAGTTAAATATTCTTTTATCCAACATATTTTTAAAAAATCAAAATTATTACTGGATTAGCAATTTAGTCCTGTTTTTATTTTTTGAGGCAAGGGCTTGCTATGCAGTTCAGACTGGCCTTGAACTTCCTATGCAGCCCAGGATAGCCTCAAACTTGAGACAGTCATCCTGCCTCAGCCTCCTGAGTGCTGAGATTACAGGCATGCTCCACCACGCCTGACTATAGTTTATGGTACTATTTAATTTGAGTTGTGACAAAAGAATTGGTAAAGAATTGAAAACTCTAACAAAAAGAAAATAGTTTGATAGTCAAACATGGACTCATGACTGGACATTAAAATTCAGTCCTGGAAATGAGCACAAATTACACATTCAAAATCCCATCTTTCGGCAAACATGAGGATCTGAGTTCAATCCCCGGTTCCACCAAAAAAAAAACAAATCCCATCTTTACATTAGCTCAGACCAAAAGATGAAATCAATTGCTGGCTTCAAACCATGAGTACATCAAGCTCTTTATTGTTATGCCTTCTACAACCAGTTTGAACTATTTACTCTTCATTTTGAACTGTGCTTACCTTGGAATGTGTCCATACTGTGGTACAAGAGAATTGGGCAAGGCACTAAAAGGGACTCCAAATATTTTACTCTGAAATGACACATTTAGTTACTATAACACAAATACAAGGTATAAAATAAATTTTCTTAAACACTGGGCAAAATAAAAACCTTAAAAACAAAAAAATCAGAAAAACAGTGTAAACTTTCAGTCAAAACAAAATAATTATTTCAAGTGCACTTGGTAACAAATCAGTACTGTATTATTAGACATGCTAGAGGTCAGGGGGTGCAAGGGTGGCCAAGATAAAGCCATCACCCTCAAAGTATTTAGTGGATGCTGTCTCTGGTGGCTATGAAAATCAATTCAGGTGTGCTTCATAAGATCCTAAACAGAATTTAGCCTAAACATTAACATTTTCCTAAAATACTACAAGTTCCCCCAGTAGTATACAGTTCTTATGTATACTTTCCTTTAGTCACCTTATAAACAAACATTAACTTACACAAAAGGCTTAGCCAATTGATACCTAAAACACTAATTTCTCTCACTGATAACTTACCAGGATACAACAGAAGTGACTATTGTATTTGATAGGTTTTCCTTATTCTAAGGAAGAGCATTAGATGCCTAACATAAATTCTTAAGTTTGTTTCACCACTTTAAAACTCATTTTTAAAAGATGTGCACACAAGTTTTAAAACACTAAGGATCACAAGAGTAAGCACCTGCGTTAGTTAACCTGAGTGGTCTTGCACAGCAGGTATAAACATTCTGCCACTATTTTTATACCTGCATTTGAACTGCTAAAAATAAAAAAATTTAAAAAACCTTGACTTACTATATAGACTGTGGCTTGGTCCTGGGCTCGACCCCCAGGACCACAAAGGAAATAATATCTAGAGACATTACCGATTGACATAACTGGAAGATACTTCTCCCATCTCCTGAGTTGAAGCCAAAGGCTGCTAAACACCCTACAGTTCACAGGATCTCCTTGCCCCTACCTTTAACAATTATTTTGTTCAAAATTTCAATAATGCTGAACTTGGAAAATCCTGCAATGACTAAAAGTTGCTTTAAATAACAAGGGATCGCATAGCGATCGCATGGATCAATCAAGACGCACCTAGCTACATTTCTTCAGTGGAATGACACATTCTACCAAGACATGGTAATATAATGGGCGATGGAACCGATCGTAACGTCTGCCTCGAACCTACATCTTTCCTAAGAACTTACCCCGATTTCTGCGGCCGCTGTTTCTCGTTTCCTGCGATCGCACTGCCCACGGCCACCCTTGACCTTAATACCGTAGGCGGCCCGAAGGTGCTGCAGCAACGCCAACCGAATCAGCCTCTGATCCCACATCCCGGACGCGTCGTCCCCTCTCGGGGACAGGAGCTGGGTCCCGAGTCTGGCTCGCCACCAAGTCTTCCAGTTCCCCCACGCTCGGGCTGGAGCTGCGCGCCGCCGCCTTCCAGCCAGGTCTGGCCCCGCTCCACCCCGGCCCGGCCCTTGCACGGCTCTCCCCTCGCCTTCTCCGCACGTCCACACACCCTCGTCTCCAGACCCTAGGATCCAGCCACGCCCCACTCCCGCACTCACACCAACCTTCTTTATCTCACCTAATCCCTTCAGTTACTCGCACCGACTTCCCTTTTCACTCCCCGACGTTCAGTACCTGCGCTACCGCCCGCTGCCAGCCTTTCACACTTCCGGCCACTTCCAACGATCCCCTCCCTTCAAACCCACTCGGCCTGCTCCAGCTTTCTCTGAAATGCAAAGACGACGCCCGCTGCGTCCCTCCGAGCCCGGCAGGCGCAGCGGGGCCTCGCGGCCCCACGCCCCGGGCCCGGACCAGCTCCGGACCAGCCGGCAGCTCAGGCGCTCTTCCAGTCCCGGTCCCCGCCCGGGCTGGTCGCCGCCGTCACCCCGTCTTACAGGGTGACCCTCCTCTCCTCCACCATCCTGCCAGCGGCTCCCGGCCCACACATCCCAATGCCCTACAGCCCAGCAGCTCTCCGCATGCCTCGGCCAGCCTGCACCTCCCCAGCAGACACCCGGTGCCCCGCGGCCGCCCCACCGCAGTCCCCGCCCAGGCTCAAAAGGCAGCGCCAAACAGTGCGCCGCTCTTGATTGGTCAACTTCTCTTTTCAAAATCAGGACCCTTGGAGGGTGGCTAGCGGATGCCTGTCCAGGAAGCGTGGCGAAGGGAGCACACAAAGGGCGTGGTGGGTAAACTTATGAAACTAAAAAGCGAGTTTAATCTTCTCCTTCACTGTCATATTTTTGAAGAAAAATACTATCAAAGTGCTTTGAATTTATCGGGGTTATTCTTCAGACAATACATTCGGGAAATATAACAGACACCTCACGGCCTTTTTTTCCAACCTGAGAAGAAGCTGAAGACCCTCTCGAATTAAACCGATTCTACGGAACTCGAAGTGAGACAACCAGAGTTAGCATTCGTAGACGCTGGATATTGTTAATCTAACCTATGTCCGCGGGAGGGAATTTGAGCCTTGAAAATTGCTTCTTACTTCGGAACGGATGGCAATGCTTAAGTCTTGTTGTATAGATAGTCAAATACAATAGAGAAAATCTGTTATGAGAGTCGAGTACAGGAATGTGAAGTCTTGGAAATAGTTGTTGAAGTGGATTTAGAAAACGAGGAAGAGTTCCCCCTCCCCTGCTGCTGAAATTTGCTCATCTGGTTGACCTGAAGCACTCATTGCACACTGCTGGGCTTGTTCCCCAGCTGCTTTTCCATTCCCAAACACCAACAATCCTATCTTGATGTTGCACTTTCTAGGAATTCTTTGTGAGTGCAAAACTTGGTGCATTCATTCATGCGTGCATGGCCTTGCTTTGTAGTGCTGGCTAGCCTCCAACTAACAGTAATCCTGTCTCAGCCTCCCAAATGCTAGGATTACAGGCGTGTGACACCACGCCCCACACTTATTACTGAATTTAAATACTGTCAAGATAGTGTTCTAACTTTGCTGCCCTCCCACCTGCCACCTCCTACAGTCTTGGTCTCCAGCGTTGCTCTATTAGTCTCCATTGACTAATACCATAGTGCCAGGAGCTGAATGAGCTATTTATTGAATGAATGAATTTAAATACATGATGGCTGGGGCGAGAGCTCAGCAGCATAAACGCCCACCTGCGAGTGCAAGGGCCTGAGTTTGACACATGACCCATCAAATATATAGTTTCCTTGGAACTATTTTACTACTTGGAGTTCAAGTCCTTATTCTATCCTTTTCAATCTAAAGAAGTCTCTTAAATGAAGTGATAACAATTTGGAAGTTAACATTTTGTTTTATTTTTGATCTTTTTTAAATTGAGCACCTGTTAAATAGTGTAGGATGATGACCAAAAGCAAGGTTTCAGACCTCAAAGGGAAGAGGAATTTAGGACACTGATTAGTGGAGAAACAAGCACTAGGGAAAGGAATGCTCATAGATATTTTCCTTGATGAGGGAGAGCAGTGTATCAATGAGTGATCTGAAAAATCAGTAGAAACTAACTTGTTAAAACTTAAGGTGAAGGGGAGAAAAGAGGGAAAGGCGAAATAGAAAGAATTAAGATATGTTGTGTACATGAACCAACTCCCCACAGTCATATAATGTAAACATGCACTAATAAAACGTTTCGAGAACTTCTTTTTAAGTGAAGGTAAAATGGTTGGGTGGAAGCATTGAGAAGACAAAGGCCCGCAGAAAAAAACCAAATTTTTATGAGAAATAGTGCATCTGAGATGATGCAATGGCAAGCAGAAACACCTAAATGGCACCCAGGATTCGGAGGCAGATTTAGTTAACATTGAGGGGCACTGACTAAGATCACTCCTAAAATATCAGGCCCTGACGTCCAGTGGTTGGGGCTTATAGTGGATAAGCAAGCAGGAAGTACAGAGGCAGAATGGCTTGTCAACTGGGGACTGGCTTATACAATGTGCATCACAGTGGCCAGCTGTTTCTAAGAGACAAAAGCAACCAGAACTGGAGCAGAAACTATTACCTGAGCAACTAACCAACTGAAGTATACTGGTGGTGGCAGGGGAGTGCAGGTGGAGGTGGGAGGGGAGGAGGCTCTGCTACAATAAAACTGAACCTATTCCTTTTCCTTTTCCTTTAGACATAAAAATAATTGATGTCTTTAACCTCAATCCTCCTCCAAACTGCACATTATGCTGGGTTTTACATGGTTTAGATTTTCTTTTCTGAAAGACTCATGTCCACTCTTTCATATAAAGTGTCTTTTTAAAAATCCGAATTCTTTTTTACAGCTGAGCTTTCTGATTTTGTATTTTGTCTGCCTTCTCTCATGATAAAAATTTAGGTTCTTAACCTAATAACCTCAAGGCATGTAAACATAATACAAGCATGTACTTGCTAGGACTAATAATATCAGCAGGAATGAAAATGGGAAAAAGGAAGTTAAAGGAGGCAGGAAAGAAAAAATAATTTAAAAAAGAAAAGTTGTATTATGTCCCCAAGATGACGGTAAACTTCATGTACCGCAAATGTACTAATAAAAATAAATGATTGGTTCATAATATCAACATAAATCCTTTTTTACTTTATGCATATTCATATACACAGATATTAAAAAAATGAAACTACAATAACAGGGCTAACATGACTGATGAATGATTTTTTTAAATATGCTTTTTTTTTCTTTACTTGTATTCCACTAAGGATCTGTACTCACAGTACTATGTTTTAAATAAGTTGGATACAATTCTTGTTGATGATGTGTGCATGCACTATAGTTTATTGATCCAGGCCCATACTTATGGATATGCTGGCTATTTCTGGTCTTACTATTTTAAAAGTAATCCTTTTGTATGTATAATACAGTTTTACCAATGCATCTCTAGCGTAAATTCTACAAATGATATTGCTAAATCAAAAGACAAAACAGCATGCCACTTTGTTCAACATTGCTAAATTCTTCCTTACAAGAGTTGTGCGATTTTTGTATTTACCCCAGCAATGTTCGAGAGTTCCTGTTTCCCTACCACCTCTCCAGTTGCAGGGATGGTCAAGCTCCTAGACTGTTGCTGAGTTGATTAGTGGAAAGTGATATTTCAATATAGTTTAGCACTTTTTTTTTGTGATTGAGATGTAGCACTTTTTAAATGGTGCATGCAAACCATAAAGTGTTACAAAGCTCATAATAAACATGGAAGATATACAGTTATGAAGTAAAGTGAAAAACTAGGGTACAAAAGAATGTGCAGTATATAACCTTTTGTATGAAGGGGATTAGAAATAATACATACTTAATTTATGTTTTAGAAATAAGCAGTGGAAAAATAAGCCCAAATCCAATAAAAATGGCCATCAATAAAAGAGTAAGAAGAGGGGAGGGAGAGAACAAGCATGGACATTAGGCCCCTTAGAACACA